TGAGACTGGCCTGGGAAACATAGCAAGACCCTATCTCTACAGTTTTATTTTTTACATACCAGGGCATGGTGGCACACACCTGTAATCCCAGCTACTCAGGAGGCAGGGATGGGAAGATTGCTTGAGCTCAGGAGTTGAAGGCTGCAGGGAGCTATGTGCATGCCACTGCACTTCCACCTGGGCAACACAGTGAGATCTTGTCTCTATTTAAAAAGAGAAAAATTCTGACTCAGTGGGTCCAGGGAAACAAAGAAAGTGAAGGCATATTTAAAAAAGCTTCCCAAGTGATTTGGATGTAAAACTAATAATACCCCTTTCTAGGTCTTTCTGTGTCTCTACCCCAGAACTTAGGGACAGCATAACATTTTGGAAGAAAATACCACTGGGAATTAAGGTTCTATCCTATCACTAATGGCTGTGTGATCTAAAAGAAGTTTCACATTCTCTGGTCCTGAGTCTCTCCACAAGAATATGAGTCCATTTATACTTCTCAGTCCTGACTACATTAGAATCACCTGGAAAGCTTAAGAAACATTCCTGTTTCCCACTTCCAAAGGACAGTTCCAGAATCTCTGGGGAAAGGACCCAGGCAGAGGTATTTACTGGAAGTTTCCATCCAATTTAGCACTAGATGATCTCAAAGGTCCCTTCTGACTTGGAAATCCTCTGCATCTACGAAATCCTTCCTCCCCTCCTGCCTGGAGAATTGAGAAGGAGCGAGGCATGACGGAAGCTCAGCTTAGGGAGCGGGGAATAAGGGAGCGTTGCGTTGCCAAGACCTGCTGCTCCATGCTGGCAGTGTCTTTGTGAAAGTAGTAACCTTTTTTTCTGACTGATTGATGTGACAGTTGGAAAGCAGTCCCCAGAACAGCCCGTTCCTCCCCTCAGTGCTATTAACATAAATATGTGCACGGGGCCTTCAGCTCCTGCTTCTCTCTGTGTACAGGAGGCTTAAGAGGCCTTGAAAGCCGGAGGCCGAAGAGAAATCAGAAGAGAGGAAGTGTTGTTAGAGGCACAAGAATGAAAAGGGGAAAAGGACAGGACGTTGCTAAGAGACAATGTCAAGCTGGGCCATGGGATTAACAGCCAGTATCAAAGCAAGTGCTTAATGGTATGTTCTGCCAGTAGGGCCTTTTCCAAGCACGAGCAGAGGGTGAGATTATCAAAGTAATTCCATTCCAAATCAGGCGTAAAAGGTCCCTTTCCTTCTTGGGCAGGCCCAACATGTTGAGTGAAAATTATGAGATTTGTTTAAAAAATTATATCTTCTAGCTTGGAGTAAACTGGATTTTTCACTGTGCAATTTCTCTGGGTCTTTAACATGCTAAGAAACATTGAGAGTCACTGAGAGTAAGTCAGAATTTGCACACATGCTGAAATAATTTGCAACCTTTTTCATTTAGAGGGGTCAAATGTTTTCCAAGACGTATGAAAACAGCTAATATAATATTTAATCTTACGGTGCTAATTATTTGACATGAATTACTTCATTTAACCTAAACGCAACCCTATGAGTTAGGTACTTTTCCTTCTTTGCACAGATGGAGAAATGAAGGCATTGAAAGTTTAAGTTACTTGCCCCAGATGACACAGCTAGTGGACACGGAGGAAACTTGGACTCTGGCGTTGAATCAGGATCTAGATTCGAATCTTAGTCCTGCCATTTGCTGGAGGGGCATGTTTGGGGAAGTTAACTAACCTCTCTGACCCTTGGTTTCCTAACTGCAAAGTGGAGAGAATAAAATGTACCTTGCAGAGTTGATGTAGTTGGAGATAATGTATATAAAGCATATAGTAAATATCCCATAAATGGTTATAGATATCATAATTGTCATCTTTTATTTAATGCTCAAAAAGGAAGTTTATAATGGTGTCCAGAAAAGAATATATGTTTTGGTTAAATAATGTAAAAAAAATCAGCTGTAGAATTAGATATGTGTCAGGGTGGGTAAATGATAAACCTTTCCACAGAAAGAGAAAACACTCTTGCTATCTTGGGGGCCAAACCTGCTTCTTCTCAACCAGCTGGCATCGAAGCATCCTCCCTTGGGGCATATAAAGGGGATGTGGCAGGTTTGGGGGCCATGTGGGGTGGGGTCGTGATTGGAACCAGTGGTTTGGGGAGGAATTGTTGGCTCCTATCTGGCTGACCATCAGCATCCTTGAGGAGCTTGTTAAAACAGATTCCTAAGCCCCGGCGCTGGTGCTTCTGAGTCTGCAGGTCTATGACGGCTCCTGGGAATATGTAGTTAGTGAGAACTTCCAGCTGATTCTGAATATCGGCCTGCTTTTAAAACCACTGGACCTGATGAAGACTTGGGAAACCTTCTTGCTCAGTTACCCTGCAATGACTCAGAGGAGCCTGCTATGGTTATTTTTGAAGTCCAGAGAGTCTGTGTCCTTTCTCTGAGCAAGAATTCAATATCACAGCAATTGAGGAACAAATGTTCTCTATGCTTTGTGGTCTGAGTAGGTGAGATAAAGGATTGTGCAAGAGGTGGTTCATTAATGATAATAGCATAGTCTTGGGCACCAGATAGCCTGGGTTCAAATCCCAGCACTGGGTTAGGGAAGAAGATAGGCCACTATTCACTTGGCACAGTGACAATAGCATAAGGAATGTAGTGGGTGCATGCCACCCTGGAAAGCCGTGAGGTTATAAATTGTTACTGTGTGTGCTGTCACCTTTATGATACAAGTGAGAAGTCCGACAATATCTTGAATTACAGTTTAGTAACTGTTTTCAAGACAACAGGAAATAAAAACATTTCTGTGTTTTTATATATTGACATCTTTTCTTGAATAAAATGCAATGAGTAGTATTTTAGGGGCTGGCTTTAAGTTAATCTTAATTTCATTATTGAATAGACTGAAATTTTACTAAGATATTTCATTGTTTTCTTAAAGTGATGATTTCAAGTCTCCTAAATATTTATACCAGCCTTTTCTTCTTAGGGGGAAAGATGGAGGGCTAACCTTGGCCTTCATCTGGTGTCAGCTTATCATAACTTACTCCTTGAAATATTTCATACTTGGAAATTAAATTCTTTATTAAAATATTGCTCTAATAAAGTATGTTCTGAAAAAAAATAATCTCAGTGCTTCCTCTTGCTGGCTGTGCCATCAGAGGCATATTCTTAAACTCTCTGAACCTTAGTTTCTTCATCTCTAATTCAGGAATAACTATGTACCCAATTTTAATAGGTTTCTAGAAGGATTAAGTGAGAGAAACTAAATCAAGTACTGGTTAAAGGCCTGGTACATAATAAAGGCTTCGTAAACCATTGCAGTCATTATCATTTTGTCCATATTCAGTTGACTTATTATCTGTATGACTGTGGACAAATCACTCTGCCCTCCTGTGTGTCATTTTCCTTATTTGGGAAATAGGAACAATGATACCAAACCACAGTGTTGTTGTAAACATTTAAGGAGAGATTACTACATGTAAAACACCCAGCACCATGCTTGCTGTACCAAAAGTATTCAACAAATGCTAGCTGCTATTATTTGCAAGACTGACAGGTGTTCTTTGTACTTGAGTCTCTTAAGTCATTCATTCATTTGAGAACACATGTCAGAAACCTCCAATATGAAGGAAAGTACTTGATATAAATTCTTCTTCATGCATTTGGCCACCCTAAAAACAGAGTGGCTTGAATGTATGATGTTACTTCCTTCTGCTCTTAAGAGGGCATCCCAGGAGAAGGCAGATTCAATGACGCAGATGGGAAGCAAACCCTGCACCCATCAAGTCCTATAACCACTTTGTCTATGGACCTTCTGCCAGCATCTTCTGTAAGGTATGTTCTTTCACCCATGGTTGACTACCACTGTGCACCATGCTAGAAACTAAGGACAGAGTAAGAAACTAATAGGCATGATATCTCCCCTCATGGAGGTTCTGGGTAAGAGAAAGGACTCCCCTTTTCTTGGAGTTCAGTGGCTGAAAGTTAAAGAGCATATTTGGCAGAGGTCAGACAGGTGAGTGAAAATAATGTGTATAAAAAAACTGAAAGAAAGTAAGTGTGGTGGAAATGTGATAGGAGTGAGGGGATGTGGAGAGAAGAGATTGAAGAGGTAAATGTAGGTCCCATATGCAGGGCCTCCAAAGCAAAGGACATTGAGGACACATTGCAAGGTTTTGAGCAGAAGGTGGCATAATCAGATTTGGGATTTAAAAAGACTACTCTGGCTGCCTTATGAGGAAAAAATTGTTTGTATGTGGGATAGAGGAAGGATACTTAAGTTTTCTTGTGTCTGATGGCACAATAATTGCTCCATCCTCTTGAGTTGAACCCAAGGCTAGCTGGGGAGGTAGGTGAGCAGGAGAATGTAATGTCAAATATGGCCATCATTTGCTGGCATTGAGAAATAAGTGGTATGGTACTCAATAGATAGTACATGTGTTTTTTGTGGTGGGCCAAGAGTCCCCACCTCCTGCTATTCACACTCTCATATAATCCACTCTCCTTGAGGGTAGACTGGATCTAGTGACTTCCTTCTAGTGAGCAGAATACAGCAAAAGTAATGAGATGTCACTTCCATGCTTGCATTAAAAAAGACTGAGCCCTCCACCTTGTGGCATTCTCTCTGTTGCTGTCACTTACTTGGTCTGATGAAGCTCTCTATTGAGAGGCCCACATAGCAAAGAATTGAGGGCAACCTCCAGTGATCAGCCAGTGACTACTGAAGGCTTCAGACCAACAACTATGAGGAACTGAATCCTGCCAGCAATCATTGACTGAGCCAGGAAATGGATCCAGCCCCAGTGGGAGGAGTATGGCTCCGGCTGGCACCTTCCCTGTAGCTTGGGCAAGACCCTGGAACAGGATACAGGTAACCTGTGCCTGGCTTCTTGACCTACAGAAACTGTGAGATAAGAAATGTGTGTTGTTTTAGGATGCTAAGTTTTAGGGTAATTTGTTACACAGCAACATAGAACTAAGACACTATTATATGATGTCACAGAAGGCAAGAGAGGTACAGTATTGAGAAGAGAAAGTGGCTAGCTTTGTCAAATGTGATAGGGAGATCAAAGATAACCCAGGATGGTAAGGAATGAGTAAGCATTGAGTCTGGCAAGTAGGTAGGTACCACAATTTGCAAGGAAGCAGTGAGAGTATGCTGGGTGGGCTGAGGTAGAAAAGATAGGAGGCAAGTCATCCATGCGTTTATGTTTAGATCCTATGTAATGCAACCAAATTTAAAGTACCATTACTGCTACAGGCAGAAGTATGATCTTTTCAGGATGAATAATAAGATCTGTTTTTGCTTTCTATTTCTTGTTCAAATTCTTGCTTAAATCTTATGATCCTGAGCTTCTAAAAACTCTCCTAAAGGCCTCTATTAATGAATTTAGCATCTGGCTTTGCAGTGCTGATGCAAATTCTCCATTCTCTTTCTCTGGATCCTGTTCCCAGTGATACATTTCCTGTGCCCCCACTGCGTCTTTTCTACGTATGATCTGTTGTCTTTGGAGCCAACTTGGGAACAATGTGGAAAATCTATTCACGGTGATCTGGGAGTGTGGTCTTGATAGAGAATCAAGTTCAAGTTGCTTGAATTTGTTACCTAGGAGAAACTTCATGGACTGTCAAATGACACCCTAGGTATTTTCCCTCTCTCTAATCTTAACTGTTCCCATTCAGATCAGAGCAGAGGATTTGGAGCCACATAATTGCTGTGTGGCTTTGAGAAAATGACTTCACCTTTCTGAGCACCAATTTCCTCTACTGCAAAATGTTGGTAGTAATATACCTTTCTCTTTGGGTTGTTTTGAGGAGAATGAAAGGAGCTGAGATGTATGAGGAGCTGAGCAAGAGCTTAGCACAAACCCTTTTCTGAGCCCCTTGCTGCTGTGATACGGCAGCTAATCTTGAATTTGCTTACCTGCATGGCAAATTCAAACATTCTAGAGGCTGCCAGGCCAGCTGCCTGAGACATGTCATAAACAGCCAGGGGAGGCAATTTGCTTTCAAAGAGAAATAGAAGGAGTCAAAACAAGCACGTGAGCAGTGGGTCCAGCCCCGAGCCAGGGCAAATTTGGCACTTGGCAGTAGCAACAGCAAGATGTGCACCACCCAGAAAGTATGTCTCTGCAGGACCTCACAAGCTCAGGACCATCCCGAAACCTGTCTTCTCTATGCGCTTGTGGAAAAGATCTGTCAGGGTTACCCATGGTATCTGAACTGACCTATCTTAAAACTAGAGTTGCTAAGAATTACCTTGCTCTAATTTGATTTTTTTTTTAATGCCATGAAGGCCTGAACCTCCTCCTGTCAACAGAGTTTGTTTTCTCTCTTTAATTCTCTCTGGAGGGGTGTGGAACAGATGCAAGGGCTGCCTGAGAAAAGTATGCAGGACACTGAACAGCTGTCGCCGGCACTTCACGGCACTAAAACTTAGAAAATGACTTGATGCTGGCTGCTGGCATATGAGTTGCCATCCAGGATTCTTCCCTGGGATACTTATTTTTGTGTTTTCTTTCTTAGAGATAGTTACTGAGTTCCTGGAATGTAGATTCTGGCCTCCTTCTCTGGACTGTGATGTGGCTGGCTCCGTTTCACTGTTGAGTTTGTGCGTACCTGATTGCCTCTTCAGAGGGGCCCTCCCTGCCAACCCTATCTAAGCTCTTTTCCCAATTCCCTTCATGGTTACTTGCTATTGCAATAACCTGTTATATATTGTTGTCTTTGTATTCTCTGACATTATTTGTTTATATTTACAGCAGTAAGTTGTCCTTGCTCCCCCTAGAATATAGCTCAGCAACTTCATCCAACCCACTCATCTCTATATCCTCATCTACCCTATGGTGAAGGAATGATTATTATTCTCCCTGTTTTACAGTTGAGGAAACTCAGGATCAAATAAATCAGATAGGTTTCCCAAGTTCATAGAACTAGTTAATGGTAGAACCAGGATTAAGATCGGAAATACAGCTATACTGTCCAATATGGTAGTCACTAGCCATGTATGGCTATTAAGCACTTGGACTGTAGCTAGTTCATATTGAGATGTGCCATATACTGGGTTTGGTATGGAATACATACTAGATTTGGAAGACACAGTACAGTAAATTTTTAAAAATATCTCATCACTGATGTTTTATATTGATTAAATGATGAAAATTTTTTTTTTTTACATACTGGGTTAAACGGAATACTAAAATTAATCTCAGTTATTTATTTTTACTTTCTAAAATGTGTTTACTAGAAGTCTTAAAATTACATGTGGTTCAAGTTGTATATCTCCTGGACTGCATTGGTCTATACCTTTAATCACCTCACAGAGTATGACCTGAAATGTCAGTAGACCCGAAACAGTGTCTCCATTGGTGCTAATGATAAAAATAAAAATCAGACAGCCATCCAATTTAGAAGTCCCTCTTCTGCTTTCTAAAGTTCACCTATTCAAAAATAAAAGCAGTTGTTCTTTAACCCACATACATTAGGTGTCTACTTTATGTAGACCACTGTGCGAGGTGCTTCTTAATGCAGTTAGAAACTGAATTAATCAGGAAGGGACAGTAACCCAACCTGAACTACCTTAAGCAGAAGAATAATAATTAGCTGTAAGAGTCTTGGGATAGCTCATATATTTCAAGGATAAGCTGGATGAGCAATGATAGAGATGGGACTCAAAATACACTCTCTCCCTCTCTCTGTTCTACATCTTTCTGAGTGTTGGCTCCATTTCCTTATACCACCTTTTTTCCATGGCCCGAGGCAGGATTGATGTCAGCTTCCAGGCTCACTTCTTCCCAGTTTCATCACCAGAGTCGAAGGGGTACCTCTAGTTTCAACTTCAGACAGGACTCGCATTGGCCTATGTTAACCCAGGACTCACACTGGCCTCACTTATGGGTCTTTTGGGCCAGTCCCACATGCATGATGACTGGCCCAGCTGGGTCGCATCCTCACCCATGTAAACAGATGGGTGTTTTAAACTGATAGACAACTTCCATTAAAACTAAAGGATTAAAGCCAAGGAAAGAATATTTCCCAATTCAAAAGGGATTCTTTCTTGATGAAAAGAGATAGGCTGAACAGACAGAATGATGGATTCTCAAAGTCTTTCTAGATGCCATTGTCTTCTTCGTGGGAAGGAATTTGAGAAATTATAAAAGTCTTGGTTAAAAGCAAAAACAAAGACATTAGTGTTGAGGCTCCTAAGATATTAAAGAAATTCATTAGAAAAATAAGAGCATGGAAGTCTTTTTGTAGATGGCATACAGAAATAAATAAGAATACTCACACATGGAGATCCCTGAAAAAGTGCCTGCCTTAGCTGGGAGCAATAGGTCAAGCCTATACTCGTGGCATTCTGAGAGACTGAGGTGGGAGGGCTACTTGATGCCAGGAGTTAAAGACCAGCCTGGGCAACATAGTGAGACTTCCTCTCTACAAAAAAATAAAAACATTACCCAGGCATGGTGGCAGGCACCTGCAGTGCCTGAATTGGGCTAAAGTGGAAGGGGGCTTGAGTTCGGGGGGTTGAGGCTGAAGTCAGACATGATCATGCCGTTTCCCTATGGGAAGAAAACACGCACCAGCATAAGTGACAGAGCGGGACCCTGTCTCTAAAAACAAAAGTGCTTGACTGCCTTCGTCATTATGACTGTATTCAAGACAGCAACTACTGAATGCAGATACCAGACCAATGAATGTACTTGACTTCTTATCATTGTTGGAATATTGCTGCTAACAATTTATTAAGTATTAACAGTGCAGAACATAGTATTAAAAACAGTTCTGGTCTAGTAGGTGAACAATCTCATCTAGGTAATATTTTCCGTTGAACAATGTGCCCCTGAAAAAATCCCTTTAGAGGAACTAAAAACTCCTACTCACAGTCAAAATGTCTCCCTTTTTCTCAGAAAAGACACTTGTTGGTTCTTACAGAAGAAAAAGTGCTTCCTCTTCATTCAGGATACAAATCCACCATTTTCAGCCTCATGATATAAAGCTGTCATCCTTCTTGTCATCTTATCACCACCTCCAATGTCCAGGAGCTTATCTTTCCTTTGTCACTTAGTCCTGGGAGGCCCGTTTGGACACATTTCATTAAAACTGAGAAAAAGAGGGCTTAGGTTGAATATTCAGACACTAAAGAGATCTTGGAATAATTTATAAGCCAATACATCCATGTCTGAGGAACCCAATGGGTATCTTGAAATACATTTACATCTATATCTATGCTAGCTTCATAGAGATATTTTTAAAAGTATGTGCTCATATTCATTTTTTACTTTTTTTCTTTAATTCTGGAAAGATATGAGTTTACCCTCTTATTTTCTTTCTGGTTGGCTACTCAGTTGCACAAAGATAAAGATGTAAAAGTCTAACTTTTCAGCTCAGATCATGAGGTCTTGCCTAAACTGGAGGGGTAGAAAGAAGTGCTTTTTTGCTATGCATGCCTGAAGCATTATGAAAGTAAGAGTCAGGTTTCTTGGCTGGGAAGATCTCATTTGGGGGAAAAAGGGCGGGGAAGGGAGTTGTCTTAGGAGGTAACTCAGGACTGCTCTGCATTGTACCTAATCATCATCTTCGTAGGAGCCTCTGAGCCTGTATTTCCACTACCTCACCTTCCTTGTGCTTCATGGAAGCCAAGGACAGGTGAGCACAAGAGTCAACCTCCACAGAAATAGGGTGGAATGAGTTTTCTTTATAGGTGTGCTGTGGTCAGAGAAAACTTGGGGGTTTTGTTTGCATCAGTCCTCATTACAATTTTTCTGATTTGTGGCAAATGGATGCTTTATACAAATTATTAAAAATTAGTTACCTAATGTATATAATGTCTTTGGAATGAAGATCAATAGAGACATTTTAGAAAGTGGGAGATGTTGGTTAGGAGTTGTGTTTTCCTCCATGGAAACTTTCATGTTTAATTAAATCTGTAAATTGAACTTTTTTACCCTTCTCATTTAAAACCCCGGCCAACAGGTACCTGGGCGTCCTGGCGCAAGATGCGAGTCTACATGTCTAGCTTTGCAGGTAGTGGTGACTCATTGTTATAACCAAATGGGAGGGAAGAAAAAACACACAAAAAAGTTCTCTATCTTACTGCAGAACGCAGAATGTCATTTTTGGAACAGTCAGTAATTTCTAGTTAGAAACTGCCAGGTTTATCTTAAAGGGACCATTACATAGTCTTGCTTGTATTTACTTGTGATTTTTATATCTGAGTTTATGCCAAATCATATGAAAAGAATGGAATTGATTGTTCATACAAAGGCTGACTATCCCTTGTAATTATTTATTTGCCTGTGTAAGATGACATCTATGATGACAATTGTCATAAGATAGGAATACCCACTTCACAATATTCCCTGAACCATTCACTTCAATTTTAGACACTAAAAGGAACCAGAGCTATTAGCAGTAAAATTCTCTGGTAAACTCTTTCTGTTCTAATTCAAATATTTTTCCTATTCTATCAGATTTAAGAGAAGATTTCTTCTAAGATGTGTCCGTAACTATGCCTTGATATTCTGGAAATCTGGAAAACAAATAATGAGCTTGTCTTTATCCAGAACTGAAAGAAGAAATAATTTGTTATTAAATGACTAAGACTTTTCTTCCAATAATAAGACTGAGTCAATGAATCACAGTTATCAGTAACTTGCAAAGTATAGGGCAAGCAGTTCAGAATTGGAGTTCCCCATCGTATTTCCACCTCATGGCCTTGCACATACTGTTCCCTCTGACCTACAACTCCCTCCCAACTCTCATTTCTTTGAATATCTCCTACTCATCACTTCTCAGTTTAATATCACTTTCCTGACATTGACTAGCTAATTTTAGTCCTCATGGCATACTGTAATTTTTCTTATGAAAATTTATAATTCATTAATAAGGTAAGTATTTATAGTAGAGAAAGTGCTTCCTCTTCATTCAGGATTCAAATCCCCTATTTTCAGCCTCATGATATAAAGCTGTCAGCCTTATTGTCATCACCATCTCTGATGTCTAAGAGCTTATCTTTCCTTTGTCACTTCATCAGGAGTTACCATTGGAACAGCAACTATTCATTGAGTCAGTTGAATGTTGGGACAGTTAATATTAAGTGGGGTGACTACAGTGCCAAGTACTGTGCCTCACACATAGTAGATACTCTATAAAAATTTTATTGATGGAATTAATCAATTCATTGATGTTCCATTTAGTTCTGTGGCAAAGGATCCCAAGCTCAGAAATAACTTGGAAGTAAATCTTAGCTAGATCCCAGACACCCCTTAGAGATCAAATTGTCCATCCTTTGCCTCCAGACAAGGCTATATCTGGTCTTGTGATTATTCAAAACTTCCAACCCACAATTTGGGCTTTGATAGCTTCTGCCAAGAGTACCATCTCTGCCCAACATTGCTTCAAATGCAAGCTCTAAAAACTGTTAGCATGTATTGGTGCCTAAGGGAGCCAGTCTTCAAGATGGCCCCCAATAATTCTCACCTCTTCTTAGTTACAACCTTTTACATTTTCCTCCCAATTCATTAGGGCTGTTCTCTGCTAACTTCTGAAGCTATTACATGGCTTCAGGGCTAGGTGATAAAACAAGGAATTGCAGCAGGAGCTCAGTCTTTTAGATAACCAGCTTTGCCAAAGTCAGTCACTATGCTGGAAGACACTGGAGTAGCCCTATGGAAAGTCCCATGTGAAAAGGAACTGAGGCTTCCACCAGCACCATCTTGTTGCCATGTGAGCAAGCCACCTAGGAAGTGGATCCTCCAGCACCACTTCCTTACTAAGAACACACTCTTAGTGTTCTTAGAGTTACCTAAGAACACTAAGCTCATAGTTTCATTGACCCAGGTAGAAATAGAAATACAGTGGAGGTAGTTTTAGATGCTTCATATCTTGTCAATATCCTCTTCAGAAGACAGAAAGGCAAGAATGTTATTTTTGCTCATCAAATGTTGGTTGAGAAATCATACAATGAATATTCATTACAACCAGAATAATGCAATAAATTCTCTATTCCCACTCAATTCAGTTAAAACCAGCTTCTTGGGTTAATTATAGGTTCAAAAGCTTCAATCCATTCAGGATGCTTGTCTTTATATGTTTCACAATTATTTTCTAATGCTGAGAACACTTCAGTCAAAGGTGGCTCTATAAATTCTTCTTTACTTGGCAAATAGACTCTATGCTTTCTTTCAAGAGAAATTTCTATTTTCCCAAACTTTAGTCACCTCAAATACAGGCCAGACACAGCCATGGACAGAGGAATAAATGTGATCTCTGTGGAAGTCAACACAAAGTACCTTATTCCATTAAAAATAGTGGAAGGTGGGTCTCATCTACTCTTGGCATGAAAAATGTTGGGTGTTGTGTGGATGCCTCATGCCTTGTACATTTTGTCCCGTTTTGTACCACTAAACACTTCTGCGTCCTTTTTATTTTCATTTTTCATTCTTTCTAGCAAGAAGCCTTATTTTCCTTTTTTGTCCTTTAGGTTTGCCTTGGCAGGGAGCACCTGTTTATTTGTCAAAAACGTCCTGGCCAGCCTGTCCTCCTAGAGACCCCACATTATGCCCCATGCTTCAGGGTCAGTAGCCATTTGATTTGTTCCTTTCATAGTTGTATCTTTATTTCATTGTAATAATAATACCTGCTGATCATAAAGATAAATACCAAACAATACAGAAAGATATAAGGCAGAAAAAATCACTTCTGTTCCCTATGGTTAATAGTTTGGGTTTAGGCTTTCGTGTTTTTGTTTGTGTGTGTGAGTATGTACGTATGTATAAGGAAAATGTTTTCATATATGGAATCATTTAATCATATTGTGTAACTTACAAATTTTTAGCAATATATTGGGAATATACTTACATAATAGCACCATCATACTTTGTTGCCTTATTTAGGTGCTAGACAAATTCTCAAAAGAACACCATAAGACAATTACTATTAATGGTTCCATTTTATAAATAGAGCAGTTGAATCTTAGAAAATTTAAGTGACTTATCTGATGCCACAAAACTCAGAGGAGGGAGCTGGAATTCAGTACCCAGCAATTAGATAGATGTAAGGGTCTAAACTCTTAGCTGCTATATATGTCAGTATTTACAAATCCAACTCTTGCTCTTCAGAGTAGTTAGTACATAGCATTAATGCCTTTCACATTTGCCGCATACCTTCACTGGCCTTCTGCTCTAGACCCTTGACTTGTTTCCCTTTCCTCTCCTGTAAACCCCTCCAATTTTCTGTCCCCTTTGTCTACCTTCCCAAGCTTATTACATTTTTGCTTTATTTGTATACTCTGAATAGTATTTCCCTTCTCTCCGAGTGTGTTTTGTCCTTAATAAACTGGTGCTGGTTTCGACAATGATGGGGAGAAGTTGAAGACTTTATACAATTTGGGGATCCTATTCATAAGGCCTACAAGCCCTATTATCTTAGGAATCAGTAGATTTAATGAATAATGTTTCCTTTTTTCCCTCCTACTCTAATTTTGATTCTGCTCATTCCTAACCCAGGTCATTATCTCCTCCTGAACTTTCACTAACAATGCCTTGGGTGTGTCCATGAAGCTCTTAAATCCTCTTCCTGAGAAAGAGAAAGAAGAAAAGCATCATTATGTGTGGGCTAGAGTGTGTGGGGGGATGGGAGGAAAACTGGGGGCACAAAGAGGTGAACCCACTGGGCTTGGTTTACAGACTAGGAAGCCAGGGTAACGGCCCTCCTAAATCTGTACTGTGTCATGATCCAAGAGCACTCCCAGCCTCAACCCAGTCGTTTTGCCTCTGAGAACACTGTCTGAGAATGAAATCTAAACCCTCAAAGAAAAGGCAGGACTTAAGGCCTCACTGCTGGCACAGAATAGTGTGCAGTTTTCCTCCTGTGGGAAGCAACAGACCATCACAGCAACAACAAGATGTTGGTAATGGTGGCTTTGCTACTGGCTTGGTGGCAGAGAGCTCCAGGCTCCTTACAGTGCATCCTCTTTTTTTATAAGTGGCGGTTAGGCTGCAGCCTCTGAACCATCACATCTCAGATGGATTCCATTTCTGGGAGTTACCAAGTGGTCCTTATAGAGTAGCATTAATCACATGGCATTCAGAGTTGACTATTTTTTCACTGTAGCTAAAAAAGATAAAGGTATTGAGCTGGAGGAGATTATCACAAATAGCTACTAGGTATGACATTGAATATTAGCTGCAGTCAACAGGTTGTGGTTGCCCAAAGAATGTGTGTATAGAAGGATTCTGCAGTCACTTCCAGACTCAAAGGGAAGCGGCTCCATAAATGACTAGTAATGTCTGTAACAGCCATGGGTGAAAAGCATGGTAACATGTATGTGTCATGTATTTGTCGTAAGAATATGTTGTGGAACTGTAAAGATCTTCCCAAGGTGTCTGGAACATTAAAACTTCTCAGTAAATGGGAATTATACAGACATACCACTGAGGGTGGTCACACTATAAAATATTACCAGGGCCAAAGAATAAACAAGTATATTGATGATCCTGTTGCTAAATATAATAGCGACTTTGAAGATGCTTTTTCCTTCTTTTGATAGTGACTGCTTTTCCTGATCTAGGGACTGTGCCTTAAGTTTTAGGATGTGTCCTGCCATTAACAGAAGTTGGGGCTAGGCTCCAAACACCTGTCTTGGCAAATTCGTTCTTCATTATAAAACCTGGTATGCAGTAACATGGCTCACATACCCAATACAGGTGAAGACCCACTTTGTTTTAGTTGTGTGTACCCTCTGGGCACATTGTGTAAGGGCTTTGCAACTCAGTTTTCTCATGAATTAAATGAGTATATTTAATTTACAGGATTGTCATGAGATTACATTTAGATAATCTAATCTTTGTGAAAAAGCTACAGAGATGCTATTATTCTAAGGTATTAACACTTTCATAATTTTTTTTTAATTTTTTTTTTTTGAGACAGAGTTTTGCTCTTGTTACTCAGGCTGGAGTGCAATGGCGTGATCTCGACTCACTGCAACCTCCGCCTCCTGGGTTCAGGCAATTCTCCTGCCTCAGCCTCCCGAGTAGCTGGGATTACAGGCACGCGCTGCCATGCCCAGCTAGTTTTTTGTATTTTTAGTAGAGACGGGGTTTCACGATGTTGACCAGGATGGTCTCGATCTTTTGACCTCGTGATCCACCCGCCTCGGCCTCCCAAAGTGCTGGGATTCACTTTCATAATTATTATTCTGTTTATGCATATACCTTCTGAATTTACTTGGGCTAGAGGAGCAGCTGAAAACAAATGTCCAGACCTGAAAATAACAATAGTGGTGGGCGTTACCATTTACTTGTTTACTAAGGCCCACTCAGGATAGACACTAGATTAGTTCCTACCTTATCATTTAAGGGTAGGATTGCTAGGAAGAATATAGGATGTCCAGTTAGTTTTAATTTTAATTTCAGATAAATAATCAGTGGGACATGTTTATATTTTAAAAACTATTTGTCATTTATTTGAAAATCAAACTCAACTAGGCAACCTTTAAAAAAAATAATAAGTGGCTGCTGCAATCTAGGACTTGTGAGAGTATTAAGAGTTTGTAAACATAAACTACTTAGAAGAGTGACATTCACGTAGTAAGCATGTGATGTATGTTAGCAATTAGAGAGACAGCCTCATATCAAGGTTACAAGGACAGGCTCTGGAGCCAGACAGCCTGCACCAAACCCCAGCGGGACCACTTACAAGCCGGGTGACCTAGGACATGATACTTTACCCCTCCATGCTTGAGTTTCCTTATCTAGAAGGTGGAGAGAATGACATTCTCTTCTTCATAGGGCTATTGTGAGTGCCACTGAGTTAATATGTGTAAAGGTTTTTAGAAAAGCACCTGAGACAGTGAAAGGCTCCAAAAATGACAGCTCTTATGATATTACTGTCGTTGCTATTTTTATGTGTTTAGCTGGCCCTAAGCTTTGAGTATTAGTAATAAAGGAATGTTATAATAAAGTGTAATAAATAATACTTTTTTATTTATTACAATAAAGGAGTATTGTAATAAAGGAATCCATACCTGCTGTTTAACAGAAAAGTTTTGGGCAACTAGGAAAGTGTTACCTCATCCCCAATTCACAGCAGACATAAGCACTAACTTGCCTAAGGTCACATGGCCAAAGCTGGGGTTCAAATCCCTGACTGTCTGACTCAAAAACTGAATCTCTTTCCACTCCTCTGGGCAGCTGAGATTTGTGATCTATGAGGTGGGAAAAGTGGCTAAGAATTGTTAACAGTAATAGCATCTATTGTGTGAGCATTTAGTAAATTCTGGAGAATGCTTTCTGGATATTAGAATTATATTGTAGTTCATTATGTTTATCAAAAAATCTAAATATTCTAAAGCATTTTATCACCTTTCTTCTTCATGCTTGAGGTGGACAAAGCAAGGATTATTGTCACCCCTAGGCAGCAGTGAGGAAGTCAGAACCCAGGAAGGTGAGGTGACTTGCTCCGATTCACCCAGCAGAATAAGGAGTAGCGAGTAGGACCAACATCCTTGGTTTCAAAGCCCGTGTTTGTTTTCTGAACTGTGTCACTTCCTCCATTATAAACACATTCCTCTGTTAGAGCTTTCACATGGTCTGGTTTGGTTGTTATTAAATTAAGTGTGGCGTCCACATCCAAAGACAACTCGAGTGTTCTGTCTTAGAAAAATTCCCGTGTTGGATTTTTGCCCCCAGTTTATCTACAAATTAATAAAAACAAATAATTTGCAAATCCAGGGGAGGAATTAGCAAAACAAACTTTGCTGTTATTTTTGAGCTATAAGGGGAACAAGTAAGCACCATAATTGTTAGCAAATGTTCTATAGCCTGCATTATCTCATCATGCTAATTATAAAGCAAAAGCCACTTCACCTCCGATTTTCTTCAGAAATCATAGGTATAATTCCTACCATGTTCTTACAGTATCTTAAATGTTCAGTCATACTACTAATGGTCATGTGGCAGCTGAACATGCTCTGTGAATCTGTTTTTGGATTCCTGAAACTATTGCCCATGAAGTGTGTCTCTAGATCGCTATCAACATATAATATGTCCATCATTGAATTTCTTTTCACTTAAGAAAAAGGGGGGCAAATGTGGTGGTTCACACCCGTAATCACAACACTTTGGGAAGCCGAGGCTGGCGGATCATTTGAGATCAGGAGTTAGAAACCAGCTTGGTCAACATGGTGAAACTCCATCTCTACTAAAAATACAAAAATTAGCTGGGCACAATAGTGGGCTCCTGTAATCCCAGCTACTCAGGAGACTGAAGCAGAAAATCTCTTGAGCCTGGTAAGTGGAGGTTGCAGTGAGCAGAGACAGCGCCACTGCCCTCTATCGTGGGTGACAGAGTGAGACTCCATTTAAAAAAAGAAAAAAGAGAAAGGTAGTAAGATACTTATGGAAATAGCTGATTTTGGAAACTTTAAGAGGAGAGGGCTGTTTCACAGGGCAAGAAACTATCCCGTGACATTTGCCCTCTTCCCTGCTCAGCTCCAGGCTGCTGGGCTGGAGACCCTTAGGCTACTCTGAGTCAGGAGTCCTAAAACCAAATTCTATGAAAGCTAAGGGTCTCCAGCCCAGCAGCCTGGAGCTGAGCAGGGAAGAGCTGACAATCATCAAATGTCACGGGATAGTTTCTTGCCCTGTGTAACAGCCCTTTCCTCTTAAAGTCTGCAAAATCAGCTTTTTCCATAAGCATCTTGCTACCTTTGCCCTGCGAAATTCTTCCTGTGGGGCAGAGGATGGTGGAGGTGAGGGCGGGAGGCAGCGGAAGTTCTCTCTCCTCTCTCAGAAACCTTGCATGCTGATCATAGGCAGTAAATTTTATAACAGAATCAGTAAGGAAAAAAGCATTCGAATGTGTAGATCAAGGCCTTTTTTATTGTTAAAAAAAAAACTACGCAAGAAAATAAGAGGAAAGAAAGACTGGAAGGAGGTGTAAACAAACAGAAGGGCATTCTTTCTGGATGGCTGGCCAAAATTGCTTTATTTGCAAGTAATAGAATGCCAG